GGAAAGTGCTGTTTTAAACTTACCAATGTACATTAAAATAGAAAATTATTGGGGCCATCAGGTGGCATGGTGGTTAACATGCTGGATTCCCACATGGCTGACCGCAGTTCAAATCTGGGACCCAACTCACACTGGGTACGTGTATATGCATGCCCAGTATCCTGAGAGGAGAATGGAAGAGAAGGGATTGTGGCATGGCCATCCTCTCTGGGAGGTGATTTCTCACTTTCTCTTCCTCTGTCTCTCTCTGGCAAATGCATACACCCTATGAAGAAAACCTAAAAAAAAGGAAAAAAACATCTTTAAAAGGAAATTGTTAAATCAGTGAAATAGGGAAGTAATTAGGACCCAAACTCTGCTGGTAACTCAGAAGAGCAAATCACTTTAACCCTCTGGGCCTCAGTCTTAATTTCACCATGTGGTTGTGGGAAGAACCACTACATATTGAAGTGCTTTAAAAAGGACAATGTATAATGCATAAAGCAAGCATTTTCCCTAAGTTGATTTATAAAGGCAATTCTTCAGAAACACTACCAGTGATGGGATTGAGGGCTTTCGATACTCAGCCATAGGGTGGCTGGTGGGTGGATCCACCGCCAAGCCTACCTGTTTGCTCGGGGCTGGCAGATCTGTTGGTCTCTGTACAGATCCCTGTTGTGGATTTGTCATTTATTAGAAAGAGGAATTTCAGGAGAATGGGTTTACCCAAATGAGAAAAATGAACCATCAACCCTCAATATAATTGTCTTGTTTTGCAGGATTGATAAGTACGAAGCCATATAAATAAGATAAGATAGGAACTTTCATAATTTTGTTTTTAATTAGTGGCAACAGCAAGTCTGGAGGTGTTTCTTCCTCACATCTTAAACCAGGACGATGAAGGGTTTACATGGATGTTGGCTTATTTGGAACTGGGAGAGACTGAACCGTACGTCCCGCTTTGCACCACTTTAGATGACAGATCAGTGGAGTTTCTGTTTTGCACCTGACACTGGGCATTCCTAACAAGCTCTGCCCCGGGACTGAGAGGTGAACGAGACAGTTTCCTCACCTTTGGGTGGGACAGCATCCCTTTGAGGTCTTCCCATCCTTAAGCCTGTGTTGGGTGGGGGTGGAGATCCAACTCTGTACGTACACACATAACGTGCCTCAGGGTGTACTCTGGCCAGGGCCTCCTGTGGAATTAGTCCCAGTGAAGGTGGACACCCAAGTTGGAAACCATTTCTTTGTGTAGCCTCCAAACTTCCAGCCACTCCCGGTCTCCGCCCTTTAAGGATATCCTGAATCAAGAGTTTGATATTTAAACTGACAGCCACTCATCTGATTGGAAGGGCAGACATCTGAAATTAGAAAGCCCAGCGATCAGGGAAACAGACGATGACATTTTGTGTGATTTCATGAGCATTTTTTTTTTCCACAGGGTGCATGTGCACACCAAAGAGAGAGAGAAAGTGAGAAAACATCCCTCCCATGGGGAATGGTCATGCTGTAATCTCTTCTCCTCCATTTCTCTTCCTTTTGAGATATTGAGTATGCACACACACATATGCCTGGTGTGTTTTTTGAGCTGCCAAGATCTGGGACATGAACCAGGCAGTCAGCCATGTGGGATCCAGCTGCCTTAACCACGATGCCACTTACTGGTCCCATCAACAATGTGTTTTAAGAAGCTGCCCTTACCTATGTGGAGGTTTAAGGAGTTCTTTTTTTTTAAAAAACAACCATCACCAAACCCTCTAACCAATTGTCAGCTCAAGTTTTGCTTCCAACGGTGAACAGATGGGCTCTGAGCTGAGTTTTCTTGAATGGAAGCACGAGAATCCCTGTCCAACTCAGAAGCACAATGAACAGGACACATCTAAAGTCGAAGAACACTGAGTTCAAGAAAAAACTTCTCCCAAGGTTCACAAAATGCTGGCCCTGAGCTGCTTCCAGTGCAAGGTTCTTTAGGGTCTTCCAGTCTCCACTGCCCTCTGCTCCCAAGGGGGAGAACAGCCAAGCCCACAGATTCTGATCACAAGTTTGTTTCCCAAACAGGTCTGGTAGTGCAGGCTAGAGAGGCAAGAGGGAAGAGCATTCCATTTGCCAGGTGGTGAAGGAAATGAGGGACTCCCTTCTCGATGCTCAAGAGTAGTTGTCCCCAACCTTTTGGGCACCAAGGACCAGTTTCATGGAAGACAGTTCTTCCATGGACTGAGGCGGGGGTGTGGGGGACAGATGGTTTCAGGATGATTCAAGTACATTACTCTTATTGTACACTTTATTTTTATTATTATTACATTGTAATAATAAGGACTGGTACTAGTCCATGGCCCAGGGGTTGGGAACGCCTTCTCTACAGCACTAAGAGATGGGATTTTAGACCTGGATGGCACATTACACTCATTACACTCGATCCAATGACCTCTCTTTATTGCATTTTTTTTCATGGTAATTTATATATAGGTATGTATGTATATATGTATATGTATATATATATGTATATGTGTATATATATATGTATATATTACATACACATAATCTTAAACTTTACAATTTTAATCTTTTTTTTTTTAAGTTTTTGCTACAATGTGTGCTTGCCAGAGAGATAGAAAAAGGGAAAGTGAGAAATCATCTCCCAGGGGGAATGGCCATGTCACAATCCCTTCTCCATTCTCCTCCTGAGATTCTAGGCATGCATGCACATGAGCCAGGCATGATTCTCAAGCCACCAGGTCCAGGATTTGAACTGTGGTTAGCCACGTGGGAATCCAGCACCTTAACCACCACACCACCTATTGGCCTCACCATTTTAACCATTTTTAAGTGTAGGGTTCAGGGGCATTACGCTCGTTTACACTGTGGTACAGCCATTCCCACCATCCTGCTTCAGAACTTTTGCATTGTCCTAAACTGAAACTCTGTGTCCATTAAAGACTAACTCTCTTCCTTTATGAATTGGACTACTCCATGTGCCTCAACTTGTGGATTTGGATGGTGTTTGTCCTTCGGTGGTGGCTTATTTCACTTCCTATGTCTTCAGGTTCATGCACATTATATGTAGCATGTGCCAGATTTTCTTCTTTTTTAAAGCTGAATAATATTTCACCATATGTATACACCACATACAAAAAGATTTTTGTTGGGACCAGCAGATGGCCTAATGGTTATATTGCTGGATGCCCACATAGCCAACTGCTGTTCGAGTCCTGGACCTGGAGGCTTGAAAGCTGGGTACATGTGCATGCATGCCCCAAATCCAGAGAGGAGAATGGAGGAGAAGGGATTGCAATGTGGCCATTCCTCCAGGGGGTAATTTCTTTCTTTATCTCTGTCTCTCCAGTGAATCTCTCTTAAAGAACATTTTTTTTTTTTAGTTTATTTTTTACATGAGCAAGACAGAAAGAGAGACAGAGAGACACAACACTCCCCATAAGGTCTCAATATGACAATCCAGCCATTCCCAATCCTAGGCACATGCTTACCCGGCATAATAAGAGAGGCCTCTGGGCGAGAACCTGGAACCCTCTCTTGTGGGTGAGCCTCCAGTTCTGTTGCTGTGTCACTGTCTGGCATTTGTTTATCTGTTCATTCATTGATGGACACTTGAGTTGCTTCCACCATTTGTCCATTGTGAATAATGCTGCCACTTATGCAAGCGTGCAATATTTGTTTGAGTCGCTGATTTACATTCTTTTGAGAACTCATCCAGAAGTGGAATTACTGGATCACATGGTCCTTTTTTAACTTAAAAAAAAAATTGCCAGAGGGCATGTGTGCTCCCCAGAGGTTGAAAGAGAGAGGAAAAAGCTCCCTCCAGTGGGGGGCGGCCATCCTCAATCCCTTTTCTTTATTTCTCCCTCCCATCAGGATTCTGGGCATGCATGCACATGCGCCCAACAAGATTCTCAAGCCACCAGGGCTGGGACTTGAACTGCAGGCAGCCATATTCCAGGCTCCTCTGACTGCATCTCATCAAGGGACTGGAGTTCCTTATACACAACACTTAACCCTTCTCCATGAGGCCCACCCCTCTGTGTTCAGCATTTCCTATATGGGCTGCACCGTGTGACATTCCTCCCAGCAATGCACAAAGTTCCAATTTCCCTGCATCCTCTCCAATACTCGCTCTGTGCTTTGCTTTGCTTTGCTTTTCCCTCCCCTCCCCTCCTCTGCCCTCCCCTCCTCTCCTCTTCCCTTCCCCTTTTCTTTTTTTTATAGTAGTCATCCAAATGGGTGTAAAGTGATATCTCACTGTAGTTTTTATATGCATTTCCCTCCATATTGGTGATGCTGAACATCTTTCATGTGCTTATTGGCCGTTTACACATCTACTTTGAAGAAATGTCTATTCAAGTCATTTGCTCATTAAAAAAACCTTTTTTTTTTCCAACTATTGAGTTGATCCCTCTTTTTATATAGGAGAAAAACAGGTTCACTGATCCACTTATTCAAAAGGCTACACTTATTCAGTGACACACAGCTGTCTCGAGGATGAGTCAGGATTAGAACCTAAGTGGCTCAGCACCCAGTGGGGTTCTTTGTCCCACTCCATTCTTTCAGAGGAAGAAACCAAGTCTCAGGAGGTGAGAAGACTTCCCCAGGGCCACAGCCTCGAGGGCACAATCCACCATATTCCAGGCTTGGAGCCTGGTTTCTCACCCTTGGTGTTCTGGACTGAATCATTTTTCTTCAAAATCTGTATGTTGAAGTCCTAACCCTCGGTGTGATTGTACTTGGAGAAAGGGCCTTCTGGGGGTAACTGATGTTAAATAAGGGCATAAAGGTGGGCCCCAATATCACAAGACTGGTGTCTTATAAGAAGGGGAAGAGGCGCTGGGAGTGTGCAAGCACAGAGGAAAGGCCGCGTGGGGATACAGCCAGGAGGCAGCTGTCTGCAAGCAGGAAGAGAGCCTTCCTGGGAACTGCAGCTGGTGATCACCCGCTGCCACTTTGATGTGGACTTCTAACTTCTAGAACCCCAGAAAAATAGATTTCTACTGTGTGAATCACACAGACCATGATGTTCTATTATGGCAGCCCGAGCTGACCGAGGCACCTGGCTTCAGAAAGTTGCATGGTGAGAAGCACCCAGAGAGAATACCGGGGGGATGGACGGTCAGGCTGGCCAGCATGATCCCTCAGGGGCAAGGATCATATTAAATTTTGGGGGAATTTTGTAGTCTTCAATCTGATGCCTGAGTAGTCCTGTCCCAGCAGAATATAACTTCCTGATGTTGAAAATAAAGAGTTTAACAAATCCTTCTAGAATCATTCCAAAGGCTTCCTGGTTATCAAATGGCTCTCACCATTTTGATGGTTCCAGACATGCACATGCTAGATTTCCCTCTGGGTGCACGCGGTTTTGCTATCGGTATTGAACTCTTCCTCCTCTGTTGTCTTCTCATGATCCCAACTTTGGGTGAGTTTTACGTCATTTCTGTTGTTTATGTCAGTTTCTCCCTCCCTCTCTCCCAATTAACTGATCTTTCACTCATAGATCTCTAGCCCCCTCATTTCTGTGAGACCTAGTAATACTTTTTTTTTTTTTTTTTGCTATAGGGCATATGAGCTCACCAGGGAGACAGACAGAAAGTGAGAAATCCATCCCTCCCATGGGGATGGCCATGCCACTATCCCTTCCCCTCCATTCTCCTCTCAGGATCTTGGGCATGCATGCACATACACCCAGAGTGAGTTTTAAGTTGCTAGGTCCAAGACTTGAACCTTGGTCAACTGCATGGGAGTGCAGTGATGTAACCATTACGCCATCTGCTGGTCCCAAGATCTAGTTATACTTTAGATGTCCCTGACCAGAGGCAGATAGGATCTAGCAAACTAGAGTCAATGAGAAAGAGGAGGAAGTGAAGAGCCCCTGTGGATGGAGCTTCTGTGGGGAGACTGGTAATTGCCAGGAGGGGACTGAGGCAGCACCCTAATCAATAAAGTTGACCCTCCATATCCATGTGTTCCACATCCACTGAGTGAAAAAAAAAAAAAATTTAAGGCTTTTGCCATAGGGCATGTGTACTTGTCAGAGAAAAAGAGAGAGAGGGAAAGTGGGACATCATCCCCCAGGGGGGATGGCCATGCCACAATCCCTTCTCCCCCACTCTCCTCTCAGGATTTTGGGCTTGCATGCCATGTGACCATTGTGATTTTCAAGCCACCAGGTCTAGGACTCAAACCACAGTCAACCATGTAGGACTCCAGCATCTTAACAACCACTCCACCTGCTGGTCCTTGAAAAAAAAATTTTTTTTTTAAAAATAATACAACAGGGACCAGCAGTTGGTGTAATGGCTATGTCGCTCGACTCCCATGTAGTCGACTGCGGTTTAGGTCCCGGACCTGGTGGCTTAAGCTCACTTCAGTCACGTGTGCATGTGTGCCCAAGATCCCGAGAGGAGAATGGAGGAGAAGGGATTGCAGCGTGGCCATCCCCCCTGGGGGGTGATTTCTCACTTTCTGTCTCTCTGTCTTTCTGGCAAGCACACATGCCCTATAGCAAAAACCTCTCAAAAACAAACAAACAAAAAACAATAGAACCGACACAAAGAAAAAAGTAGCATCTATTTACACAGCACCTCCATAGTGTTAGGTATTATGAGTAATACAGAGATGATCTGAATTACATAGGAGGACTGCACAGATACAGGAAAATGCTAATAAGGGACTTGAGCATGTGTGTTCTGGTGTCGGAGGCAGGTCCTGGAGCCAGTCGCCCAGGACTGAGGAGCATCCCCACTGTGGTGCGAGTGGGTTTGATGCAGGAAGGCTGTCCAGCATGTGCAGAAGCCTGTGTCTGCAGACTTCATTTTCTAAGCCACTGACTTCATCCCGTCTGTCCCTCACTCTTTGCTTAATTTTTTTGAGCTCCAACCCGGGTCCGTCCTTCCTGTCTTCGCCTCACTAGCCCATCCAGTCTCTCTCAGTTTCATGCTAGGAAATATTTCATCTCTTTTATCTCCTTTCCTGCTCTCTAGGTAACTCGCAGGGTAACATTGCCATCCCAGGCTGCTCTCACAGCCACAAGGAGCACCGTGATGGGCGGCAGGAGGGGCTGACTCCCGTCTCAGTTTCCAAGAGTGAGTTCTGACATGTCTCACACAAGCTCGTGGCACTTCCCCCACCCCCAGGCTCTGAAGGATTTCGCTGCTGTTGAGACAGGAACTGGGTAGGATTGGGCTTTGCTTTTTTTGTTTTAATTGCCAAAGGGTGTGTGCACTTGCCAGAGACAGGGAGAGAGAGGGAGCGAGCGAGAGAGAAAGACAGAGAAAGTACCTCTGAGTGGAGCGTGGTCAGGCTAAATCTCTTCCTCTATCTCTCCATCCTATTGGGATTTGGGGCATGCACACACAAGTGCCCAGCATGTTTTTCAAGCCTCTGGGGCCAGAATTTGAATTGTGATCAGCCATGTGGAATCTAGTTCCTTTAACCACTGCACTCACTACGGGGCCGGCCAGAGGGTTTGGATGGAAGGTCTAGGGAAGTGGTGCAGTTGGAATTTACATTCAGGAACGAAGGCTCGGAACCTAGTGCTCACTCTACTGTGGCACTTATCAAACTGTCATGTGCCTCTGAATCTTCCTAACATGTAGATTCTGATATAGCAGGTCTTGGATGAGGCCCTGGCTTCTGCATTTTTTATTTCTTTTAAATTATTTTGTTTAACTATTATTATTATTATGTAATTTGACCAGAAAGAGACAGAGACAGAGAGGGAAAGTGAGAAAACAAGATGCCAGGTCTAGGACTTGAACCATGGTTGGCCACGTAGGAGTCCAGCACCTTAACCACCATGCCACCTGCCAGCACCAGGCTCCTGAATTTCTTTCTTTCTTCTTCTTTTTTTTTTTAAAGAATTTTTAATTTAATTTAATTTTATCATTATTATTTTTTAAGTTTGACTTGACAGACTGAGAGAGAGAGAAAAGGGAAGTGAGAAAACAAGCCACAAGTCTGAGACTTAAACCACAGTCAGCCATGTGGGAATCCAGTGCCTTAACCACCACACCGCTTACTGGCCCTCAGCTTCTGCATTTCTAACAAGCTCCCAGGGGCCACAGATGCTGTCGTTGATTCATGCACTTTGAGTGTCAAGGCCCCGCTGTATTATATGAAGAGAGAGGTCCTTGTGCTAGAATTCCAGGTACCACAGGAGGCTGGAGTATTTTTGAGTACTATGGTCCTCCAGTCACATTTGGTAGGTACCTGGCATGCATTCTCTGCCTCTCATCAGGTTTGGCTCTGCGCTCTCAGCTTTAGCACGCATAGAATCACCTGGAGGGCTTGGGAACCGCAGCTGGCTGGGGCCCACCCCTCCTTTAATCCAGGTCTGTGGTGGGGCCCAAGAATCTGATTTCTTTTACCTGCTGCAGGTCAGGGGTCTAGACTTTGAAACCACTTTAAAACCAGGGAACCATGTAGACCCCACAATAGAGGGTCAGACGACCCTGGGCGTGAATCTGAATCTGCTCCTTACACACAGGGTGACCTTGAGAATGTGACCCGTCTTCTCTGAGATCCAGTTTTCCCATCTACAAAATCCCTGTAAATGCCCACTCAAGGGTCAATTCCCAGAGAAAGAAAGACTGGATTTGAGTTCAGCCTGGTAGCCCACTGGCTGATCAAGAAAGGAGCCTCCACAGTTGACACCCCACCAATTACAGGGACTGGGGCAGGATTTTTTTGGAGGGGAGAGGTTTTCGCTATAGGGCGTGTGCGCTCGCCAGACAGACAGAGAGAGACAGAGAGACAGAAAGCGAGAAATCACCCCCCAGGGGGAATGGTCTCGCCACAATCCCTTCTCTTCCATTCTCCTCTCGGGATCTTGGGCCTGCACGCACACGCGCCCGGCGTGAGTTAAGCCACCAGGGCCGGGACGCGAACCGCGGTCGACTACGTGGTGGTCCAGGGACATAGCCATTACACTAACTGCTGGTTTCCTGGGGGCAGGATTTTCCCAAAGGAAGGGAAGAGGGGAAGAAAAAAACACCAGTGTCTTCCACCTCCATTCGTTGTCCTATTTTGTTCTCCCTCTTCCAGCCCCAGACTCTTTGGAGTGGGGAAGCCATGGCAGAGCACGTGTGAAAGAACAGGGGCTGGTTACCGACACACCCGGGTTTCATCTCGAGACTGACACACCCAGATTTAACCATCATCCTGCCACTTTCCTGTGTGAAGCTGGGCCCAGCACTTTGCTGAGCCTCAGTTTCCTCAACTGGTAGAGTGGGAAGATCCCAAGCACCGTGCATTTGGTTGTAAGGATTAACATAAGAACCATGGAGGGCCGGCAGGTGGCATGGTGGATAAGGGCGCTGGACTCCCACATGGCCTGACTGAGGTTTGTAGTCCTGGACCTGGTGGTTTGCTTTCTCACTTCCCCCCAACCTCTCTCTGGTCAAATTTAAAATAAATAAAATTCAATAAAAATAACAATTCTTTTCTTTTTTTTTTTTTTAAAGAACCATGAAATGTTTGCTTTCTCTCTAATCTTGAATGTGAGTAGTTTACTTTGCCAAGTTCTACTGATTCTCAAGGAAGCATAAATCTCCTACTTCGCGTATTCACGAGGGCATTTAGGGGATGCCCTAGGCACATGCTTACGGAGAAGTCGCTACCCACTGCACTGGTGCCGTCCTGTCAGCACCTAGACACCGTCGGTCACTGAACCCAGTCCTCAGGGTATTACCGACTTAGTACTCCTTAGGCCCCTAACTTTCAGAATTTTTTTTTTTTTTAAATAACTTTCTATTTCCTTGAGACTGAGTTTTACATCTTTGGGGCAGGGCTTGGGACAGAAAAAAGGTTAGACTTCCCAGCTGGGTCCCCATGGCTAAGGCTGTTCATCGCCTAGCTAGAAATCCACTTTCTCATTTCTTCTTCTGCTGTGAACCCTGACTTTCTTCTGGACTCTGCCACCTGGATCAAAAGACAAGATTTCTCAGTTTCTCTGGGAACTTGATGTGTCCATGTGATCAAGTTCTGGCCAACTGGAAGTAAGAGAAGTGCTATGTGTAAGAAAGTCTGCTGAGAGAGCTGACTCAGCTGGTGCTATGTCCCTTTTTTGTCCTCTTCCCTCTTTGTTCCAGCCAATAGCCCACGCTGTGATGGCAGGAGCTCCAACAACCATCTTGTACTATGAGGAGAGCTTGTAGGGTGGGAGCTATTTCCAACAGTGGAGCAGAAAGAGTGGACTCTATGTCCCTAATTTCACAGCAGTGGTATGGAATCTCTCTATACCAGTACTGGACCTCTTTCGCATGAAAGAAAAATCAAATCTGACCTTCTTTAAGCTATAGTTAATTCAAGGATTCCCCTCCCTGCTATGTAAGCTGTAACTAATTCTAATGGATAGTGCTCACACACACCCCATGTGATTTTTCCTTTTTCCTAGGGGTAAATTCTCCCTCAGTTTTCATGTGATAGATTTTCGATGGGGTCCTTCATGGTATTCAAGCTATATCAAAAAAAAAAATAAAAATAAAAAAAAAAAAAAAAAAAAAAAAAAAAAAGAAAAGAAAAAAAAGAAAGAAAGAAAGAAAAGAAAAGATTTGTCCGGGAACACCTGAATTCCACTTAGGGTCAGAATAGGATCCTCACAAACTATGCAAAGTGCTTGGTGCACGGCAGGCATCTATCACATTGTAGCTGTTGTAGAATACATGGTCTCAGGGCTCAGTAAAAAACTCCTACCTGTTAGGTAAGAGCTACAACCCAGAGGGCTGAGCTGGGGTGGGGAAAATTCTAGATAGGCAGCTATGAACTGATTTGCTCCATAAAAGTCACTTTCTGCTTTGCACCCTTACTTTTCCTGTAGGACCTGCTAGGCCAGACCCTAAGTCAGTGGGACAGCCACCATCAATAACACATCCCTCTGGGGCCAGCAGGTGGCGTGGTGGTTACAGTGTTGAACTCCCACATGTCTGACTGTGGTTTGAGTCCCATACCCAGAGGCTTGAAACTCACACCAGGTGCATGTGCACCCATGCCCAAAATCCCAGAAGAAGAATTAAGGAGAAGGGATTATGGTATGGACATCCTCTGGGATGTGGGGGTGTGATTTCTCACTTTCCCTCTCACTGTCTCTGTCTCCCTCTGCTCGAGTGAGTGTAGGCACCCTATGGGGGGAAAATGCATCTTTCCTAGCCATGAAAGTGGGGGGTCCCAAAGGAAGGCTTAATCCTCAGTGGTGTCTTTGCCAAATAGTGACAATGCCAAATGATTTGTACTGAGAGTCCCCAGAACATCACACCAGCTCGAACCATCTGCTCCAGCAATCCATTATGGCTCTCTGAGGTCTGACTCGTCCCAAATAGCCCACGGGTTTCCTGGGTTACCTACCCTCGACCTCAGGACTGGAGGAGACTCCCCACCCTCCTCCACCCCCACTGACCTGAGTCCGGGCCACTCTTGCAGGGGAGCTGCCTTATGATTGTTGACTCAGGGGTCGGTAGAAGGACTTCTGTTGTTCTGATATATTTTTTTAAAAAGTAGGAAAACTGATCTCAGCCAATTGTAGAAATTCAGTTTGTTAAATGAACTAAGAAAAAGAAGAATACAAAAACATTCCCAAACAAATGGAATGAATGGGGCCAAGTCAGGAGATGGCTTCCTTCCATGCCTCTGCGAAGTGCAGGAAGCATTCTTCTCCCAGCCAGGATCATGAGACTGGGGAGTAGCCACCCCCCTCTTGTCCCCTCATGTCCCCTTCCATCCTTGCCCCAGGCCTAGATGAGAAGCCCGGGCTTTGTTTTCCATCAAAGTCTCCTCCTGGGATTCTGGGCATGCATGCACACATACCTGGCATGGTTTTCAAGTTGCCAGGTCTGGAACTCAAGCCATGGTCAGCCACATAGGAGTACAAGACTTAACCACCACATCACATGCTGGCCCCAAGGTATTCTTTTCTAAAAAAAAATAGTTAGAGGGCATGTGTACTTGTGAGAGAGAGAGAGACAGAGACAGAGAGAGAGACTCCCAGTGGGGCATGGTCATACTGCAATCTTCATTCCTTCATCCCATGAGGATATGAGGCACATATACACGTGTGCCCAGCATGTTTCTCACACCACCAGGGCCAGGACGTGAACTGATGCCAGCCATGTGGGATTCGGCTCTCAATGCATACACTTAACCACCACACTATGGATATGGCTCAAAGTATTCTTTATTACCAATTTATAGTAGGCAAACTGTCCCTGAAATCTGTTCAGTTTGTGTTTTAGTTATCTTTTGCAGCGTAACAAGTTACCTCCAAACATAGCAACTTTAAACAACATCACATTATCTCATAGCTTTCGGCAGTCCTAAATCCAGAGCTTCTGGCTCGAGGTCTCTCATGAGGCTGCAGCAAGCAAGTCAGCAGGGCTGCAGTGTCATGGGAAGGCTCGACTGAGGTAGAGTCCCTCCAAGCTCATTTCACTCCCAAGACTGTTGAATGTCCTTGGTCTCTTCCATGTGGGTCTCTCCACAGTCTGCCCTTTGGGTCCCCCCACACTAAGTAGTCTAAGAGACACTGAGACCCAAACCGAAGCCACAGCCTTTTTGTAACCTAACATTGACAGTGATATCCCATATTGGTTCTGCCATATTTTATTTGTTAGAAGTGGCTTACTCAGGGGAACCAGCAGTTAGCGTAATGGCTATGTCACTGGACTCCCACGTAGTCGACCGTGGTTCGTGTCCCGGACCCGGTGGCTTAAAACTCACGCCAGGCGCGTGTGCGTGCGTGCCCAAGATCCCGAGAGGAGAATGGAGGAGAAGGGATTG